CCCAAGCCCGAACGCAGCACAGGTGGATCTGTCAGCAGGAATCCTTGTGCCTGAAGGCACAACCCACATCTTGGCCCAGAGCTGAGAGGTCCCAAGAAGCTGAGCGTCAAAACTTCCAAACTTTTGGAGCTTTGGAAGACACGGCCTTGAGCTTGCCTTAATCTCGCCATGATCCATCAAACCCCACGCCTTGCAGCATTTCATTCACGCGTACGTGGGCTAGGCTTTCAAGCCCTGCGCCCAAGCCCTGAATAGTATCTGAGCCCCGACTGGCGAGCTCTCCAGGAAGGGTCGTCCTTTCAGTGCTGTTCAGAACACGCGACACAGACCGCTTAGGAATTTTGAACTTGTGCTTTCGGTGTTTTGGGGTTTCGGGTTACCTGTGCCCTAATTTTCAAGTTTATGGTGTTACCCTGTGGGCCGAGGTGTTTTCCAACGCGCCAACCCTCGGCGAGTCCGATTTTTGCGTGTCGACGCCCTTCGAGGACAATGAAGCCTGTCATGCCGGGTGGGCCGGGTGGACCCCACACTCCCTAAGGCTTGGTAGAATGAAGTTTTGTTAGATCTTCTGGCGGGTTGCATGCCTAGGCTTGCAACCCTAACTAAGCCAAAGCCCCTTAAACGCTTGATTTCTTGTTATGCCAGCTTCCGTCGCGTTCGTGCCTCTCGCCGGAATTGTATGGGTGGGTGGGCACTCCGGGGATGCTGCGCCGGGACTCTCTGCCCCGGCTTCTCTTGGGGGGGTTGGGCACTGCACTGACATCTCTGCCCTTTCTGGCCGTGGGAACTCCAAGGATGCTCGGCGGGACCCTCTGCGGATACTTGGCGGGACTCTCTGCTGCTTCTGCGGGGAGGGTACTCGGCGGGACTCTCTGCAAGGGTTTTCTGGGGTGCGCACTTGAGGGCACTCGGCGGGCTCTCAGCGGGTTTGTGTGCGGTGGGCGCTCCAGGGACCAGGCGAAGAAACGAGGAGGCGAGGCGCATAATCGACTAAAGACTATAAAACCAACAATGCCTGGAGTGGGGAAAAAGCCGAAACCCCACAACCCTGAACAGGTGAGGTGCTGACCAGTTTTCACTTCCAAGGCAATTGCAAGCTTGTTGGCCAGGATAACAAGTCGGCAGAGAAGAAAGAGCTCTAAAGGCGGGCTCTTCCACTGGCACTGTCCCCGCCATCATTTTGTTGACTGCCAGTACTTTGGAACAATCGCACTTCCTGGTTACCAACACGGTTGCTGAGATTCTAGACCAACGTTCAAAGCGACCCTACAATTACAATTGAATGGTGAGACCTGGAACCTGCAAAAACTACCACGCCCTGTCCATCGTCAGTGTAGAATCTTTTCAAGATAGACAGGTGTGGTGTCGTTAGCAGGGGTTGTGGCGCAAAGAGATAAACAGAGCAACCCAACCCGCATCCTGAAGCCGAACTCCACAAAGGGTTGGTATTCAACTCCCAACCCGCAGCTGGTGGTTGGAGAAGGGTTTGTGTGAAGGGCCTTCGCTTTGGTTGCGACGCTTAGACGCATAGATCCGATTGCAAGAACAGACTGGTTTGATGGCCCGAGAAGCAAGCATCAAAATGCTTTTGAAGCCCTCTCTCTAACTGCTCGAGCGGCGTGTGAGGGGTAACCACCAGTTACCAGTTGCCTGGAAAGTCTGAACGCCCCCAATCGTAGTTTAAAGCTTATCGACAAAGGCCTCGACAACCTGCAGCATCCCTTCCTGGGTTTCTCATTCAGGGCATGGGCTTGGTTGTACGTGAGATTCGGGTTTGTGGTTGAATGGTTGGTTTTCAGGTTGAGCGTAAAGTGATTTGGGGTTCTCTCTTTGCAGCGAGCTCTTGGCAGGCGTTTGCCTACTCATGCCAGTCCACTGGCTCGAGCTCTGAGGTAAATTGTTTGTACCTTCACATGCCCCACCCAAGGCGTGACAAAGCTGCAATCAGAGTACCTGTTCCCGACAGTCTACACCGACACTTCCCTGCAGTGCCAGACCCCGCAACAAGCCCATCCTAGAGAAGGACGTGCACACAAGAAGCACTGGGATTAACCTCCCCTTGGCCCTGCAAAAGATGCAGCGCCAGCAGTCTGGTGCTCTCCCCGTCTGATTTCTGCTTAATTAGCTAAGAATGCCGCAAGGAGGTTAGGGGGTTTGGGTGCTTAACGGTGCTGAAGTTTGGAGGGGGCTGAATTTTTGGGTGTCAAAGGTCACACCTATGGCCCATGGGGGCCTATGCAGACGTGGCTTTCGCTCTAGACGTCGTCGTAATTTCGAATCTCAAGGCTCTGCCTAAGCTGGCTTGTAAGCTGTGTCAAGCCCTGGTAGAGATCTCGCGAGGAGCGGACCAAAGACCGAAGAGTAGGTAGACCGGCCAGGTATCGGAGCCACAAGGGGCGCGTGAGGTTTTCTTGCGTTTTCAAGGCTTTGTCGGTGTTGTTATCGCCCTCCCTGTGGGCTCCGACGCCCACCCAAAGACCTCTGCCGGCTGGAAAGCCTTCAGCGCTGACCTCCGCATGAAAGAGCATGAGCAGCGAGTGCTCGTCGGAACGATTCTTTGTGCATTTGTGGCACCGGCAATCACCCTGGAGCGGCATGTCCAGCACCCCGAGCATGTCCCTTTCATGCTCCTTGCTGCCTGGAAGCCATTAAAATCATTAGAACCAACAGCCGATGCCAGAGCAGAGACTCGCACAAGAACCCCACACCGATGAGGCGGAGCTTGTCCAGCACCTAGCAATCAGAAGCCTCGCCCCTTGTTCATTGAGAATTCAGGCCGACGCACCGAACTGAAAGCCACCCACAACACCTCAGCTCTGGATCCCAAAGCACTCAGCACCTCAAAACCGGGTGTACGACCCTTCCGAGCACTTTTTCTGCCTCCTCGGCCTTAGCCATGGCTCGGCTGCCATTGTTGCGGCTGAGCGAGGCGCACGAGACTGGGTTTAGGGTTTAGGGTTTCGGGTTTAGGGTCTAGGGTTTAGGGTGATTTTGTCGTTCGGCAGCGATCACGGCTTGCTTGGACCATGAAGGGGGTTTTGGACTGGTGTGCTGTGTTTGTTCTTCTCGGCATTAGGGTTTCAGGAGGCGCCATGTACTAGAGCGCATCCCAACACCCAAGGTCCTTCTTGTTGGATGTGTCTTGTTGCTTTGCCAATTTTTTCAACATTCTTACCCGGCTTAAATTGGAAGCATCGGCACTGCGTGCAAGTTTACGAGTCGTGGATGAAGAGAAATTTGGGCTTTGTATCCAGTGTTGCCCCTGCTGGATCCCCTGCTCTGTTTCTACCAGAATCGATCACTGGCTCCTCTGCGAGCGTCTGAAATTCGGGAGATCCACCAGAAGTTTTGCTCATCCGGGGTGGGAGAGGATTGGGATGCCGCGGCTGATGTCTACGTGGGGGCAGGTCTAGTGAGGGGACTGGGCCCTTGAATGTTTGAAGTCCTGAAGCTAAAGTGGACGAATCTCCAAGCCCATCCTTACAAATCTACGCTTTAGGCACCAAAATGGATCATTCCAGCTCAAGAAGTGAACCTAGAAGGTTTCCAGCGGATAGTTGGGGTTAGAGCTTCTTGGCATTTGTTTTAAGACGTCAGAACCTGCACAAGCTGACTTTGAAGCCTCAAACCCGAAGGCATGAGCCTATCAAGTCCTGCAGATCCTTCCTTGCAACCTGTGCAAGCTTCAATTGAAATCTTCACAAGCTGTCCTTGCAAGGGCTTGTTTCGGCCCGCCTTGGCGCCGCAGAGAGGCGCCTTGGCTTAGTCGCACAATGCTGCGCAATTCTGCAACATGTTCTGTGGTTAGTTGTAAACGCTTGCGCGCACCGCCTCGGCAGCCGGGCCGGCCTAACACGGGGTGTAGTGTGCGCATCGCAGACGAAAGCAGGCCAAAGTCATATGTGGCTTGGTGCAGCGCCACGCACGTCATGAGTCCAGGAGGTAGGAGAGCCACAGAGGTCCGGGGCGCAGGGCTTGTGCAGGGTGTTGCGTTGGACAACTTTGCCTCCCACACGTCGTCAGCCTGGCAGTTTGTTCAACAATCAGGCCTTCAATTCGTTGAATTTCCTAGCCCAAGAATCAATCCGTTTGTTGTGTGTGTGGAGTTTGCAGCGGGGGGGATTCAGCTGGCGCAGTCTTGCAAAGCGGGTAAAATGGGCCCATGGGACCCCGGCAATATGAATGAGTGCAGCGACAGTGATTGAATGCATTGAACCTTTGTACTTCTGCCTTAGGATGCCGAACCGAGTTTGGAGTGTCTCGAGATATGTTGCAGAGTGAATCCACGATCCCTGACAAAACAACACGCGAAGCTAGGCCTTCTGGCGCTCCAGCGACGGGGTTTCCAGCCGCTTATCTGCATGTGGTCGTCTGGCTTTGGGAGAAGCCCAAGCTTTGGAGCCTGCAAAGATCTGCATAGTTCAAGTTCAGAAAGAAGCCACCGAGGGTGGGAAGAAGACAATCCTAAATCAAAAAGGCTTTTATGCGCACCCCCAAACCCCAATTACTCCCATCAACAACTCATGCCTGAAGACCCTGAGCCAACCCTAAAGTCTCCGACCCTAAGCTCTACACTCATGAACCCCTACAGCTCTTGACGCAAGGAATGGCGTGGGCGTTTTAGAGCCGCCGCGCTTTGTGGAGGCCTTCGCTGCCTGGCAGCTTTCTCCTTTGTTTCCCAGGTTTTTGGGCTCAAGCCTGAGGGGTGGAGGCTTCTCGTTGAGGCTCTCAATGAAGAAGGAGAGGCTGCCACGAGCCCAAGTTGGTTCTCACCAAATCTCTGTGCTCTGCAAGGCCCTAAACTTTTTGTTTCAGGGCTTACTGAAGGCTTCCATGTATGGGTACCCTGCAACCGAGCTCGAAACTTGCGAAGTTCGAAGCCTGAACCCCAAACCCTGAGCCTTCCCTGGGATTTGTACGCTCAGCTGTAACACAAAGACCCTCGGAACCATTGACAGGTTCCCATCGTGCAGGAATCGCAGCGCGAGCTGATGCAAGACATGCCCGCCTGGGGCCCCAATGGGTCGGAGGGCACAGGGTTTCAGACTTGCCGAGTCAGGACTCAGCATAGAAAGTCATAAGCCCCAACCTCCCAAAAGCCTTTTTTGGCAAACGAGCTCCCGAGCCCAGCCCTCAAGTTTCGTGGGGTCTGCTGCTTTCATTTCCGTGAGTGCTTCCACAGATTGTTTGGATTTCTCGCGTTGCCCGCTTCGGACTGGAGGATCTCGACTTATGAGCCTGAGCCACCCCAGATCCCCTTCTGCAGGACCTAGTGCTGGGAGGCCATGCGCAGAACTACAAGCAGGAGAACCCCTGCCTGGGTCCCGTCATCTGAAGATCGAGGGAAGACATCGCTCAGCGGAGTTCATTTGCTTGGAAGTGGTCTTCTCTTGTGGCTACTGGCAGTGTTTGCGGTGAGTTGTTCAGAGTTGGAGGCTCAAAACCGAAGCAGCAGCTGCTGTTAGATCTCCACTTGCATCTATGTCAACTTTACGTGCAGAAGCCTGCACTTAGCTTTTACTCGCGCTATGAATTTATCGTTGATAAGCAGGCTGAACTTTCCTATAGCATTGAGTGAGCCTCTCGATCTACTTCCGAAACGTGAATCCTTGGATCCTAGCTTGAGCATCAGGAGTCATGTTTTGACAACGTTTTCGATCTTTTCATACACCCGGCCTGTAGAAACGCCCTGAAGCGCTCCTTCAAATAGATTTCCTTCCAGACCGGGGCGTCCCCTTGGACCACGCCGTGGTTGTGGATGAGGCTCTGAGGGTTCAGGGGCTGCAGGCTAGGCTGCGGCTGTGAGGGTCACTGTCCTGCAACGAGGCAGCATGGGACATCCCGCGGGGTAGAAGCAGATGGGTCCTAGGACTTCTTGGCTCTCGCCAGCAGCCTCTAGTTTCGGGTGAAGGCTTCGTGACTTCGTCTCGTCTCTTGCAGTCCCTGAATCGAATGCCTAAGAGGTGCGGCCGTCTGCCACCGAGGCCCGCAAGTCTTCAAGAGTTTTTCAGAGTCTTCAGGGGTCATGGGGCTCATTGTGCCGCTGCAGCGATTCAGGCCTTCAAGAGTTTAAGCGCGGTGCGGCGATGTTTTGCTTTTTCACGCGGCGTTTTCTTTGTAATGTGCCACTAGGAAAAACAGCGTGCTTTGCAGTTTGCACGTATGTCATGAATGGTATTGGCTCTCGAGCCCTCTGCCGTTCGAAAGTGAGCCTGGTCTGCTTGCTTTGCTGCAGCTCATCAGCCGAATAGCGGCTGGTAAGAGTGCTACCCGAGTTGATGCGGCCGCGCAGAGAGTTAATGCTGCGTCCCGTGCGTGAGTCCGCCTCATGCTTAGCCAATGCTTGGCGAGGGGGTGTTTTTGTCACGGGGATAAGCAGCATGCTTTGCGTGTATGTCATGAAGGGTATGTGTCTCGAGGCTGCAGTGGGAAAGTAGAGCATTGCTCCTGCATGGCGGGATTTTTCCTGACTACCTGGCCAAAGATGGGGCAATCAAGTCTTGAACGGCAATGCCTGATAGACTCAAGACCGAACCCCTGCGTGCCCTAAACCCACTAGACCCGCAGACAGTTGTCCAGGTTGGGGTTCCTTGCTACACTGGTGCACCCACTGTTATTCACCTGGAAGCCGTCACCTTCTGCCCTGCCCCCCTTGATGCTCTTGGATTATTTTGATGCTTTTGGCTGTTTGGAAAGTGGTAGCATGCGAAGGCGTAGGCCCAAAGAAGGCCCCAAGGGCAAAGGGTGCTGGTAGAGCTCAGCTTCAATGAGTTAGTCCCACTCCGAAGCGTAAGCTGAAAACTCTAGACCCACGCTTCTTGGTTGCTGTCAGGAAGGCTTCCCTCAGCCGGCCGTGCCCTCGGCCACTTCTTCGGACAGCTCTGGGCTTCGGGTAACCCTCGAGCGCAACCGGTAGCAAGACCAGGGTTTGCCAGATCTATCGCAGTTGTCTTGGGCCTTTGAGTCTCCGAGTGCCAGCCCACTCTTAGCTCTTGAGCCCGGCAGTACCCTCCCAGCAAACCCAATTTTGCAAGTGGTGGCATTTTAAACAGGCATTCTACGCATTCCAGGCATTCTAAACTTGGGAAGCCTTCAGCTGCCATTGCCAAGCTCTTCGGCCGCCTTCCGAATGGAGTCAAAGTCATCGCCGTGGATCGACAGGCAGGACTTCGCAGGGACTTCAGTGTGACCTCGCAGGGAGTGCCAAACTCAAAACTTTGCGGCAGACCAATGGAGGGCAGCCAGTGGCCAACGATACGGTGCAGACAGATGCATCTCAATACGCAACAGTCAAGCGCAAGACCTGCAAAGCTCAGCAAACTCGGCTGCAAGGATGCTGTCGATCCTGACAAAGAATAAGATGTTTCATCGAACCTTCAAATTTTGCCTCTGAAGACGTTCATGATCTTTCGAGTTCATAGGGGCCAAGTATTTTTCCGTTCATGGACGCAGAACCCCCTGCTTCACTCAACATCACAGGGAAACGAGACGATTTGTCCAGTAGAGCATGTTGTGGTGATTCCAAATTGATGTATTTTGTCAGACCCTACACGACAGACATACCGCGCCGAACAAGCGAACTTTAGCCTGCAACGATCAACCTTCCAAAGCTACTGCGACTCAAGCCCAGCATCAGCCCAAACCCTGAGCCCAGCTTCTGTTGCAGGGTCTTTGCACCTCTTTGGGCCTCTTCGTCCAAGCAGGCGCCGACATTTTGTCGTTGTTATCGTGTTCCGGACCCTAAGCTTGTAGCGGTTTGCTCTTAAGCACTTAGCCTTTCCGAAGCTTCTAAGTCCCCTTAACATCGACCTTCAACCCAAAACATCCAAAGAGCTTGGCATTCCTGCAAGTTTGGCCTTTTTTTGGCCTGGGGGCTCATGGTTTTGAGGCTCTGTTGGGGGCTCTGCAGGTGCTGATCTTGACTCATGGTGTATTGCTTGCACGAGAGTGCCGTGAACTATGCGCACCTTCCCCACCCCAAATGCTACACTTTCTTGTTTTGGAGTTTGTTTCTTGGGTTTGGGCCGTGGGGCCGTTTGCTGTCGTACTATCCAAGCCAGCAGTGAAATGGTGCCAAGACCACGGTTCGGTTCGTAGAAAGCTTTTCCATAGCAAGAGTCTTCTTGATGGGATGTTGGAGAGGCAGAGCCCTCATTAGTGGAGTATCGGATATGAGTCATGGCAACAGCTGCTTCTTTTGCACCGGTTTCCTTCGCTTTGGCCAGCACTCTTCCCTGTCACGAAAGCTAGCTCCTTGGAGCTCGCGAGAGTTGTCGTTTACAAGAATTCTCTCTAGTGTTCAGCTGGGTCAAGAAGCGACTCCGACCCTTAAGTGGTCTGAAAATCAGAGAGATAAAGGGCTGTGGAAGGGGGGGGGCCCCCCTCCCCACCCTTACAGGATTGACAAAATCAACTGAACCCCCCCCCCCTCCTTTCAGGGTCGCCTTAATTGATTTCTGGGGAGGGGGGGGGGGGCCCCCCCCCCCCCCCCCCCCTTTTGGCCCCCCCCCCCCCCTCCCTTTTCAGGCTTCCCCCTCCGTCTTGGTCAGGCCCTGCGCCTGACTCGAAAAAAGCTTGCTTGTCAGCCGCGTTTCTAGCTTTCGTGGCCCCGATCTCAAGTCCTTGTTCTTGCGCATATTCCTTCCACTGTGCAAGCTCCAAAGCTTTCTGCCACCTCCCTTTCGATCCCCTACTTGCTCTTCGGCGCCTCGAGGCAGCCGCTATGGTTCTGCCGAGCAGGCATGCCTGCCGCACATGTTGGAGTTGATGGCGTCCGGGCCCGAGCAGCCGATGGATTGGGATTGGCCGAGGGAGATTTTTCAGGGAGTTTGGGAGGGTTTGGAACAACTTTGGAAACGAGGGTTTAGAGTCCCATGGCGAAAAGCCGATTTTCCTTCGTTATGGTGGGTTGATGCGTGTTGTGTGGAGGGCATGGCAGGATGGTCAGCAGCCGCGATGCTGTGGGGTGCGGACGGGGAAGGAAGAAGGCGGACCTCGCTGGTGTGTAAGGTGCGCTGGGATGTGGTCCAACTCAGGTTCCGGTCCTCTGCGCACCTGACGCACCTTCGGACGCAGAAGACGCTCGAGCAGCTAGGCGCAGCAGCGTGCGGAGCCAAGAAACCTGTTTATGCTGTAGGTGGAGACTCCGACAGTGCGCACTTAGCCGATTTGGGAGGGGTTACAGGGTTTGTGAGGCTTAGGGCGTGTTCTTAATGAACTTCTGAACGGTCCAGGTTTGGAATGTAACAGTACAGGGCGGCAGCTATTGTCGCAGCCATCCACCCCACATCTCACACGTTGTTCCACCTTGCTTGCGGCATTCTGCGCTTCGGTGGATTCTTGAAGACGATGTTGCTTCTAAACACGTCCAAATAACATCACATAACAAAGCAACCATAAACTTATAAACCGCGGCACAGCCATGCCACTGTGCGCCTTGATGAGAGACCAATGCCCGTGCCCGATGCTCGATACATCAAGGCCACAGGGCGAATGACCCCAGGGTTTATCCAGGTTGGAGAAATGCCCTGCCGGGCTCCCTTGGGGCCACACCTGGTGTACTGCGTGGTTCCGGAGCTGTGCACTCTTATCAGCAGACGGAACTTGCAGCTCTTGGACGGCGTGGCAGATGATGTGCCCCAGAAGCACGATTTGCAAGAGGCTTTTCCGTCGTGGATTGCCGACAATCAGGTCGAAATCCTGCAAGTATCAGCTCGCCTTGCCACCAAAGCTCGCAACGCCGGAGGCATGCCAACATTACTGGCGCAGCAGGTTCTCTGGAAGGTTCCCCACGGCAGCACTCGGGATTTAAAGCCCCCTAAATGGATGCTCAAAACCGCCACAGTAAGCCTCAAACCAACTTCAAGAAAGATTGCATGGACCTTCAGGCTCCAATTCAAGGTTCGGGCTTGAAACAGCTGTGTTTGAGGTCGTGCCGCGTTGGCCGAGAGGCGGGCTTCGCTGAAACGAGTGGTCCCGGATAGGAGGTTGTGGGAGCTGTCGTCGTCATCATGGCAGTCGAAACTCCTCATAGCCCCGCAATTTTAATGTCATGGCTGCTGCTGCTGCTGCTGCTGCTGCTGCTGCTGCTGCTGCTGCTGCTGGTTTGTGACTGCCGACGCTGACCGTTAAGTTTTGCTCGGAGTTCAGGTAGGTTTGGGATTCTCGTGGCACTTTTGTTGCGATCTTGTGCGGCGCGCTTGGAAGCAACCATCGGCCCTCTGTGATCGTTTCAGCAACGAATGCTCTGTCTTTGCATCTCAGCTGTTTCTTTCTTGGACTCCGGGAGGTTCAGGTTCAGGATGCCTTGATCTCACGCAACGAAAGTACTCAGAGGTGCAGATGCCCCAAGCGTCACCTTGGCGCCCCACCAGCTACAGGTGCCGAAGATCCATAGTTGTGTGAGTACTTTGCCCAGAAAAGAGTCGCACCTGCCAGGATGTCCTCTACCAGGTCGACGTGCCTGTGCCGCATCTTTTCGGAATCCTCAAATGTCAAACCCTTGTACACAGTCGCTGAAGGGGGTTCCCCAAGCCTTGGAGCCACATCTGCATGTCGGCTTCCAAAGGTTTCGTTCAAACTTCCGTTTGGATTGTTACGTTTTGTTGCGCCAGTTCTACATCTCCAAGCCAGTAGAGCTTGGCTTCTAGAGTCGACGAACCTCTAAAGACTCTAAAGCTTAAATTCAAGAAGCGCTCCCTCTGGGATCGGACACGGTGGAACAGGGTTCCATCTGCGCAAAGCACAATCGGACTCAGGTTTTGCGGGAGTATGTGCCTGTGGCATTGCCGCAGACCCAAGACGAGACTGCCGAATGTTGAGTGTGGAAGTGAGTTGGTTTCGTGCAGGGCGGCAGTATCTGTTTCTAAAGCTTGATCTTTCGGCGCGTCGCAAGCCTGCTTCCTCTATCAACCTCCCACCTGTAGCTACTACAGCTACAGCTCTCCGGCGCGCACCAACCCTAAAAGCCCTGAGTCCGAAGTCCACAACAATACATCTTGTAGCCACACCTCGCGAGACCGTCGCCTGCACAAGGCGTGCAATGCTTGCCTTTGTCGCTGGAGAACATCAATTCTTTTGATTTTGTCCGTTGGGTTTGATGGCTCGGGCTTGGCTTGGGAGGATTCGTTAAAAGCGTGATGCTCTTCAAGATTCCTCAAGGCATGTTCCAGCCATAGTCTGGACTCTACATGTGTTGAAGGCAGCATTGTTGCTTGCAATTCTGTCTGTTCCATGAAGACCATGGCGAGTTCAAGCGAGTTCTGGATTCTCCGAGGCCCCTCATGCTGGCCAATGTACTTTGCCCCCTGGCCAGGGGCTCATGCTGGCATAAACATGTTCCGATCGGATCAGAGCCCGAGCCTCCTGGTGCACTTGCTGTTGCTCTGAGCGCATTCGGGAACTACAGGCCTTTGTCCCTAAGCCCGAAGCTGGAAACCTTAAATCCCTAGAGTAGAATCCCAAAGTCCAAGAATAGCACTGGCAGCAGCAGATATATGGGTGGCTCTCAAAAACATGGGTCATGATACGTCCTGATCTACCACACAGTGGTCCTGGGTTCGGCTCCAAACCCAGCTGACATGCTGAAGCTTCAACCCTCGCTGGACAAATCACGCTCTGACATGCTCTGACAGCCCTTGAACTCAGACCGACTGGGGACTCCCAACCCCCCACAACGATGAGCCGAGCCGCTTCATCCGCTGTTCAGGTGCTTCCAGATGAGGTTGCGGAGTCGCACCAGCACATTGCGGAGCTGCAGCAAATGTTGGAGGACAGAAGTAGAAGTGGCTTGCTTGAGAGGTGCGGGCTCACCTGCAGAGAGAGGAGGGTTCATCCAACACCCATGCTTGTCGCAAGCCAGACAGCAGCTTGTTGGTTGGGGTGGGGTAGCCGGAGGTGTAGCTGCAGCTTGACATCTGAGATTGAGGCCAAAAGGGTGGTGTGACGGAGCGTGGGTGGCAGGTGGTACCTTTGAGATGGGTGTGGCGAAACCCCAAGGCCAACGTCGTTTGCATCGGCTTTGGAAGGGCGGGGCTCTCGCGGGCACGGTCCAAAGTAACATGGCGCAACATGGCTTTCACTACAAAGCAGCTTTCACCCCAAGTCAAAGCCGTGAGCTCCGAATAGATGTTGACTTCAAGACAGACAGGACAAGCCAGAGAGCCTTGTGGTGGAGCTACTTCATGCAACTTGGCCATGCCTGGTACCAGTAGATTAGTAACAAGAGGTGTCCGGCCTCGCGGCATGCAGTTTCCAGCTTGAGGCGTTAGGGGCTACTGTTGCTTCCATGGCCTCACCCGTTTAGTCGTTGGAGGTCTGTGCCTTCGCGATTGTACCCAAGCTGTAGTAAACTTCCTTAAATCCCAAAAAATCTCTTCGCTCTACACGTGACACGCACACACCACTCCAGCCCACTCTGATCCACTAGCTCACTGAAGCTGGAGCACTGAATCAGACCATGCAAGTGTGCGGCAGTATCACATTGATAGTCACGACCGTGTTTGTCATTGCAACTGGGCTTGGGGGATTCGGTCTTGCCGCTGCGCGGCAGCATGAATAAAGTGGCAACCTGAGCGAGATCCTTCCACCATAGCGAATACGGATCATCGAAGGAGCAAACGCACCTTCGCATACTCATGCTGCCTTGATTGGCGAAGGTAGCCGCTTACCAGGGCAACTCCCTGGGCTATCCGCTCTATGCAACAGAGCAGGAGAGTGGCACCGATCTAAACAGTCGTTATTTGGGGGGGCTCGTATTGGCGATTATGGGCTATCAGAAGTTCTGTCATGAAAGCCCAAACCCTGGATTTTTGGCAGTCAACAGCCTCATTCGGCTGGGTTCTGCGGAGCATCCCCAGCATCCTACTCTTCTTGATGGAGTCCACTGGCTTTGTTTCGAGCACATGCAACTCGTGACCGTCAACCCAGATTCCCTAAATCCTGAAAATCAGGCCCCCAACCCGTAGCCCGCGGTCGTTTTGATGCTGAGCCTGCTTCAGGCACCGGTTTCGGGTCGAGGCTAGGTAGCTGTTGTCAGGTGTTTGTTGCCGTGCGCGGGCACCGTGCACATACAGTTTGGGTTTCGTCCCATGGAAATGTATTCGGATCTTAGTTCTCAGAATCCGGACGTCTGTTGCGGATCGATGTTAAACGAACAGGGTCTACCCCTAGCTTCCACTCTCGACGAGCATATTCTTCTTCAATCCCTAGAAGGAAAGCTTCCACTCTCGACTGACATGTGCTTCTTCAATCAGTGTAAGGAAGCCCAAAAAACTTCAAGCCGTGTGGGATGCACTGCTTGGGGCGGGTGGGGTGGGTATAATGCCTTCGTAGAATGCACTAAGCAACACAAAAAGGGCAAATCTCTCTCACGCGGTATCCAGCCCCTAACCGACCTTCAGGACTTAGACAAGTGCTCTGCAGACAGCATCCGGGAGTTCATCGCAAGGTGGGGGGCCGCATCATAAGCCCTATGCTGCAGCCACACGCGAATGCATGACTCGTGTAGAACCATCAGGTACAGTGGTTTTGAATATGGAGGTTGTCCCCACCCTCAGTGGGGTTGTTAGATTGCAAGGACAACTATGCCCACAGCGAGCATCACCGGACACAATGGACACAACGGACACAACAGCGCTCTACTACAACTCAACGAGATAGGAGGACATGACAGGGGAGAGGAACGAGGACAAATGTGAGGAGGACAGGTAGCAGGACAGGACGCTGGACAGACAGGAGGGGCAATCCTCTCATGCCGTTGATGGTGCCGAAAGATAGCCACAGGCATCTCAGGCCGGCGATTGCACCTCAAAACGGTGGCCATTTAGCGATCAGCAGCCTCTCGGCCGGCGGTTGCGCCGAAAAGTAGTCACCACATAGCCTTCTCAGGCCGAAAATTCCACCAAACAATAGCAGGCCAGCAGGCTTCTCAGGGCAGCGATTCTACCGAGCTATCACTTGAAGCATCCCCACCCTGTCCGCAAAGTGTATATTTGCTGGGCATTCTCATAAGACAAAGATTCCGAGGAGGGCACGCAGATTCGCCTTGTCTTGCGTCGCCATGCAACAAGCTCAATCCATTCTTTTGTGATGGAAACCTAGGTTCAGATTGTCGTAGAAGCAACTTGGATTTTCCTGTCGCATGTGTGGGAGAAACAAAAACACCACCAGTTTGACTTTGCGAAGAACTGGGTCGGCTTGCAATACGGTAGAGGCCCTCCCTTTACCCTGAGCTTAATTCCTTAATCAATATAGAAGCTGCAAAAGGGGTGCATGATCATGTCCTGCTACTACCCACAGCAACCTGAACCTAGGTTTCCATCCATGGAGAAATAGCGGGTTGATCTTGTCGTATTGTGCAGCAAAACAAGGCGAGCCTGCTTAGTAGAAGGGCGATGCACTTTCGGACGGGGTAGGGATGCTCGAAGTGCTAGTTTGCTGTCGCTGTCGTGGCACGATGTTTGCTTTCGGCTCTTGCATATGGCTATGAGTGGCGCCCCTTAAGCAAAGCAATCCCAAAACGTCCCTAACCTGGAGCTGGAGACCCCTAAACCCTAAACCCTCAACACTCAACCCTAAACCCTAAACCCTAAACCCTCCTAAACCCTAAACCCTAAACCCTAAACCCTAAACCCTAAACCCTAAACCCTAAACCCTAAACCCTAAACCCTACACCCTAAACCCTAAACCCCTAAATCCAAAGCAGGGAGTGCACGCCGGACACGCTCACGGTCGCCCGCTGCCCAGCACATTGCAGAGCATAGGCTTGGAGTTTTGTGGTGGTTGGGGTTCAGGCCGGCTTTTGCAGCTTCTCTCCTCCTCCCTCTGTTTTTGTTTTGTCCGTCCTCATCCCGGATCCCTGCTTGGCCTTAGCTAGTGCTCAGCCCCAGATTTGCAAACCAGACTTCTGAGCTCAGAGCCCAAAAGGTTGGTGTCAATGTCGACTTCGCGGAGCTTTGCAAGTGGACGGCACGTAGCTTCGCAGAGCAAGGACTGACCCTTACCTAGATGAATGGGCAAGCATCCCCTTCATTCTTCTAGTACTCCTCTGATGTCGTAAGAGCTCCTGAAAACATATACGTAAAGTTAGGTGAGCGGGCTGAGCAAGTGAGCGATTTCAATGGATTTGATAGGGCGTCATGTGCCGCATGAAAAATGTTGAATGGATGAACGGCCAAGAGCCCAGAAAACAAGAGCTGAAATGTTCAATGAAGGAACGGCCAAGACACCAGAAAATCAGAGCCTAGAAATGAAGTGTTGATGACCCACCGTAAGATAGAAGCCAGTAAAGGCTAACTATAAGCATATAATGGCATTGAAAGATTTCCCACAAACGTAAGAAATAGGATGAGGATACAAGTCAGCAAGACAGTGAATCAATTATCTGACGATATAGATAGAGAATTAATGTCTTTCAATCGAAATCTTTACGAATAACGAATGCTATTTTAGAATCAATGAAAGGCGCAAAGAATCAATGGAAACAAAAACCTGTTGAAATTATGATAACACATCGCACTTTTTACAAGCCTTTGAACTGCGAACGACGGTCGCGCCTCAAGATGAGTCAAGAGTTAATGCCAGAGACTCCCCAGCCAGGCTCCAGCTTCGCTGGGCTCCCGGAGGGTGCAACGCGCTGGGGCCTTGGCATTGTCTTGAGCCTTGACAGTGTTGTCCAGCATTGTTTGGCACTGTATATGTTTGTTTTGGTTTCCTTGGGGTTTGTAAACAGCAGCTCTTAACATGCATAGGACACTTTCTATTGGCCAACTCTAAACTCCGAAAGCCCCTGAAGCCACGAGGTGGCGACATGGTGCCAGCGAAGTACACAGGCGGCGAGCTGCGGATGAGCCGGTAGGCCCCTCAGCAACGAACGTCTGCGGCTTCAGCTTTCACAAGGTGTGGGGGGCTTTAGGTTACGTCGAAGGTGCAGTCAGCACGTTCATAGCTCCATTCATAGCCCCAGCATGTTCTAGCCGCTTCTGAGCCATCTTGCCATAAACAGGAGTGTCCAGCCTGAACTGTCAAGTGCCAAGCGTCACGTGAGGCCAAACCCGCTTTGCCATCTCATCTTCGGTTGGGAGGCACCAGCACATTGAGCCTAGGTTGATTGTGAGAGCATGCGGCGCTGGCTGAAGAGTAACTGGCGATGTTCGCGATGCTCTGGGGGTTCAGAGTGATTAAAGTATCGGGAGAAAAAATGGGTTTGCCACGGCACGGGGCAGCGATACGGCCATTCCTGACTGTTAGTCCATGTCCTGAGCTTGTTCGCAGGTCCCGGGTGGCTGGAACGGAAAATGGCTGGCAGCTGCCACGGTGCCTCCAGCAAGCACATGGCATGCTTTGGGCCGTCTTGCCACCCCGCTGTTTGTGTCCTCGGCCGCCGCCCCTCCGTCTGCCCTCCGCCCCTCTCCCCCTCCATCTTTGTCCACGGAAAGCAATCTTAGCTCCTAAGCGCCTCATAGAGGCCCCGGAACCCCAAATCCTAACCCTAAATCCGAAATCAAACCACACCCTAAACCCGGCAAAGGCTTCAGAGAGGCACAAGAACCACCCCTCAACCCTACCCACAAACTCATAGGCCTGTGAACGAAGAAGTAGCTCGATGTGTGGGTAACATGGGTACCTTGTTGTTGAGACCTGGTTGATTGAGTCACTCGCCAAGCAGGTGCTGCAGATGTTCCTCGGCGGCGGTGGCAGCTTCTCCACTGGCGGCCCAGGTTCCTTTTCAATTGTGGTCTGTCGCTTGAGACTCCACTGTAAAGACATTTTTGGGGTTTAGGCGTTTCAGGGCTAAGAAGGGCCATATGCTGGTAGCCCCTTTGCAAGTGTAGCAGCAACAGATCCAGCATTCTATTCGTTGGCGTGAGCATCACTTTGAGGCTTGCCTCAGAATACCGTGCTGAATCCGGATTGTCGGTTTTATTGCTCGCGACACTCCAGGGTTTAGGATTTCTTCGCAATCTGTCCATCCCTTCGGCATGCAGAGCCACCTCGGGAGTTTGTGGCCTAGGGCTAGTCAGTTCTAGGACTATCCGTGCGGCAGCTGAAATTGAACACGAGCTGGAGGCCTGAAGCCCAAATCCTAAAACGACGCCGAGACCCCCAAGATGCCAGGAAAGGGCATGCACACGCGCTTCTTCACCGAGATCCTCAACAGGCAACAACAACCCGAGCGTGGAATGGTGCCATGAACTAGCAGGTAGTTGTAATATGCGCAAATGGTCCATAAACGTTGTTTGGGCGTTGATGTTTTGCACCAATCGGGTGGGCGCTCTCTCGTAGGACCCTTGTGTGTATGAGATGCTTTCAGTAGGTTTCTATGACAAGCGAAAGTCTTGCAACTGAGGGTCGTTGAAGGGTTGATAAACTGTTCTGCTCCATGTGGCTCTTTTGGACTTTGGAGCTTTGCCTTCGAAACTTCCGCGTGACCGATTGCAGGTCTCTTGCCTTTTTGGGTTGATTGTCCTGTTTGCCATTGGTTTCTTGACGCCTTTGCTCTTCGGCTGTTCTTGGCCTGTGTGGCTTCACGGCTTCTTGGACTTTGCTGCTTCTTTGCTCTTTCTTGATTTCGTACAGACTCATACATGCTCTTAGTGTACTGCGCGAAGAAAGGCGGCTTGTGAACGGAGAGCCCATGTGCGTGGTGGTGTGAGCAAGGCTGTGCTTATCCTTCAATGCCGTCATAGTAGGCAGTAGGGCGTCAACTCACCACGAATCAAAGGTCGAACTGGGCCAAAGGCCGGGGAAAGGAGTTGGTGAGCCTCGCGATGACTCCCATGAGTCACAAGGAACATGGCCCGGGAAGACTCGGGGCTCGGTTTGGGAAGCATAACCAGGCATTGCTGGACTTCGGGTGAGGGCCTGAAGGCCAAAGACCCAAACTCCTTCTCGGGTGTGCCTCACCCTCTGTACATCCGCGAGGCATCACTGGGTGGAGTCATGTCAGGCTAGCACGGTGCGGTGCCCAGCAATGAGAGGTACCCTCCCCCCGAACAAAAAGATGCAAACAGGGACGCCTTCCGTTTGAGGATATTCATATAACCTAGGTTGTTGAGTCATGCTCCCGCGTCTTTTGTTGAAGAATCCCTGTGCTGGCAAGGGGCCCAGGCCCAAGAATTCGCATGGATCAGCTTTCCGATTGCGACTCCTCAATGCCTCCGACCTTCGAAGTTGCGATGTTTGAGGGCCTCGTTCTGACAGGGTTGTTCTGTGTGGGCCTGCAACGAACCTTCACAGCAAGGGCATGTCAACCCAATTTTGGCCGCCACCCAAGGAGGGAGGGGCCAGGGAAGCCGGAGACTGCCGGAGAGAAGAAGAAAATTACTATTACTATTACGATCACGATTAGGATTTACGATTAGCAGTACTATTTCTACGACTGCGACTGCGACTTCGACGACGATGACTACTATTATTATGATTATTATGGCAATTACTATTGTTATGGCTCTTGCTCTTGCTACGGTTATCGCAAGTACAGCTCCGAGGACGGCTGCTACTACTACGACGACTGAAGCTTTCCAATCAATGGGAATACGGGGGCTGTCACCGAGTCTTTTCTGGCTTCGTTAAGAAGTCCGCTTCGTGCGGGCGGCGGGCTATACCTTGAGCAGCAAACCTACGCCGCAAGTCCTCAATCTTCATCCCGACCCTCAACCCATCAGCCTGGCCCCCCGAAACTGAGGTGATGTACATTGACAGCGGCCTTTTCACGGTCTACGCGCCGCAGCCCTAGCAGCAAAGTTCTGAAACTACAAATCGCTCTATGAGGGGAAGTTCCCGGCTTACATTTCAGGACGACTGTGCCAGATGGTGCCAAAGACTTCGTCGACGTGCTGGCCAGGGTGTTTGAGGCCTTACTGGGACAATGATCTGTGTGTGTGAAATTTTGTGAGAAGCTATGAGAGAAATTGTCCAAATGGCGCAGAGTCTCGAATGTCTTTTGGCTTTCGTGAGACTCCTGTCCAGTCAGTTTCGTACGCAAGTTCAACATCGCATCAGCGCTGATATAAAGCCCCTCTTTGCTGAATTCCATCAGACCAAGCTGATCTTGAAAAGCGTTCGACTGAGAAATATCTTCCAGCAAGGGCAGCCAATATCGCCCCTGCCGCGGAAGCAAACTCGAGATCTTGTTGCTGTGATCGTGCGTGGCTGTATGAAAACGAGGCCGCATACCTCTCACCTTGGCAAGCGAAAATATTATTCTTTACAAACGAATATATAAAAAACAAATTTCGTTGTGAATGAAAAACACAGACAAATAAGTTGCCCATGATGCAGAAAAGCTTCCTGAAGAAGTAAGTCCGCGAATGGGATATCGTAGAAAATGTTGCGGACCCTGCTTAGTTTTATGCCAGTGGCAATGACTTCTGCGCTAACATATTCCGGGCCATTTGCGCGCAAAACAAGTCGGATAGATTTGTCAATGTTGATGCGCTTGTCATCTAACGCCGGGACAATACTCTCTACAGACCTGCGCAGGGCGTGATGAGGATGACGCCTCTCGAGCTAGACCGTGCGAAGAATGCTTTGGCATCCAGTGCGCCGAGCTTGAGGGCTTGAATTATATATACTGAAGGCCCAGGTACCTCGAGGGCTGCTTGACGAGTTTTACAGTTTGAAAACATGCCACTTGCAATTCGGCATGTGTAGCCGGCCTCCGAAAGTTTGCAGTCTGTGGATTGAGGATGTTAGGGTGAGCTCGCCCCAAACCAGCAAGCAAGAACCACAGCCGCAAAACAAGCACGCAGGTATCCACATGAACCTGGAGATGCAGGGGCCTCAGAGGGTTCCTGTTCTGCTGGGGTCTGGGGATCAAGTTGGGGCATTCAGGATTGCATCAAGGTGAAGGCGGGTCGCAAATGCTTGAAGATTGCAAGTCCCCCAAAAGGCGGGCCGTGATGATGGAGGACCTCGGGCGGCAGATGGTTCTGTCCGGCAAGGCCTGGCTCCGTTGTAAATGAAAGCTTAGAACAATAAGTTGAGCAACCCTGGGCCCGAGGTGACATGCTTCCACGTTCTTTGTTTCGCTGCTCCCTGCGCCACCCTACTCCCAAACTTCTCCGAACTTCTCCAGACTCGGAGCCCTCCGAACTGCCGAAGGTTGGATCTGCCATGGAGTTTACGCGCATGGTGGGCGAAATCGAGAAGGATGCCGTGTAGCGTGTGGGTCTCTTCCACCCGTTGAGCCCGCAAGCGAGCCCCAAAGGATACACTGCGGCCTCAGTAGTCCTACCAAATGCCGGCCATTTCCGGGACCCTGCCTCCCAAGCCAAGCTTGGAATTTGAAGATGGTGAACTATCGATCAATTCCCCTACCTGCCTTCCTGAGTGCGTGTGTGCGTGGGTGATCGTGAGTGGGTGTGTGTGTACACAGGCATGCACAGCCACAAAACAGTAGCATGCTTTGTGGCCACATAAAGCCGATTTCGGACGCAGGGGGCACGGCACCACAGTTCAGAGCCGTGCCAACGAAGCTAAAGAACTGTGAAGCATTCAAGGATGCTTGAGTGTGTACCCGCGTGAGTTGCTTAGCCCGTCCGTAACTACAAACAAACGTAGCCCCTGATCATTACGATTATTTGGCATTGCTGTTGTCCCAATAGCTGTCCTTCATTCTGTTCCATTCTTCCCGGCCCGTTCAAGTTTAGACTTGAGATGTAACTAATAAAGGCAAGTTCAACTCGCTTGATCGATGAGATCATGTTTTGAAGTTGTATGCCATTTGTTATCTGAATTCAACGAAAAGTATAACTAGCCCCTTATTGCAAAATGATTTTAATGATTATTAGACCCTGTGGTGGTGTTGTCTATAAGTTAGAGGTCGCATATGTCGATGCATTCCGCACAGTACGAGTATGGGCTTAAGAATCGAGAGAGTTGTACACGTAAGTTGCAGACTGGAAAGGGGCCCTTCTTAGTTCAATCGTTTTCGCGAATTGCGTGCCAAAAGTGACACTGCAAATCTGTATTGCATAGTCTGTATTGGTTCTAGATACGTGGTCGAAATCAAAGAAAAGTAGGCGCTTGGGGGTGGTGTGTGTCTCTGTGTGTGTGTGTGTTTCGCATATCTACATATACATATATGTATCTCTCTATGTAGGATGTGTTGTTGGTGGGTTGGGGGCCAGCCGTACAAAGGTTTCGGAAATGCCCTTCCTGCCTCCCGCTTGTCACGCTTCCACGGCCAAACGGCCCACGATGTTTGGCATGTTGCTCGCTGGTTCTTCTGGCTGCGGTACCCTAACTAAACCCTTTACCCTAAACCCTGAACCCTGAACCCTAAACCGTCAGCATCATGTACTTGTTGGTGACCCATTGGTGGGCACGCGAGGAAGATCTGATCGAAGTTTTGCGGGTCTGCGTGGATCTTGGCATTCCTGCTTACACAGCACATCTGACCTCACCTATTCATATTCTCTAGATACTACTGCAAGTTTTGGGGATGTTGACTTTTTAGCTGTACGTTGTCTAAGTCTTGTGCATATTTCGCGCACGCGAGCTTCAGAGGTGTGTTTTGGCGCGGGATGTGAAGCTGCCCATGCCGACGACTGCTTGAAGGATCTTGAAGGGTCATGCGTGCAGCCTTAGCCACCATACCAAGTTGTTTCCGGTTTGTTGACAACGTCAACTTCTTCCAGTCCCCTGATTCAGCCTGCTGGAAAGTCTGAACCCTAAGCCCTAGAGCTTCCAGTACTCCCACCAGTCCCACCCCTCCAAGGCCTCATGTCGCGAGTCAGTGTCGTGGCATTCGGAGCCATCGAGAAGGTCTGACTGGTCTTGGGTGTACGTGCGGTTTGACAGGGGGTTGTTGGGGTAGTTTATGCCTATGCTTTCAAGCTGAGCCCCGAAGTGCTAGGCTTTTCTGCAAAGTCATGTCATCGCAGCTGGCCTAAGTATTTGGTCTCTTTTCTTCAAATTACGAGTTGCAGCGTTGGAACATCCCCGCCACGGAGGTGCCTTCCTTTGAAAGCATCGAGAAGCGGTGTCGGCCTCAGGTCTGTGCAGTTTCAGCGCGGGCTGACGCTGGGTTCCGGTTTGGGCCGGTTTGGGGCCTGTTTGGCTGTTTTTCTGGAAAGTGCCAGGCGAATGGAACACCGGCACTCGCTTCACATGGGTAGAGACAACTTTGTGAAGACATAGACAAGAGCTTAACATCAGGGGCTCAAGGACTTCAGGACCCCGGTGGGTTTCGAGTTTGGGGTTTGGTGGCTGGCTCAGGCCCTACAGGACCTCTTAAGCTTGAAGCCAAGTGGACAACCCTTTCAAGCCCTCTCATGCGTGCCCGAGGTTCTCAGAGCTGAAGTTTCCTGTCTCGAGCAAGCACAACCCGCCGTAATCTGCCTGCTGCGGAAGCGTGCGCGGCGTGAGCCAAAAGTGTGTTAGGATGCAGCTTTCAGAGTCTGTGGGGTTCGGAGACGTTCGGAGTAGCCTAGAGAAGTGAAGTATTGAATCCTGCCTGGTGAAATCGCCCGTTCAGCATGTCCGGTTCGAGTAGATGTCCATTCACCGAACTTGCAACCTTAACACGTGTTATGCTCGGTTTGCTCTTCAAGGTTTTGCTTGGGGGAACAAAGGCCCCCTCTCTAAACTCTGAACCGCAAGCGAGACTCTCGACCGCAAGCCCGATCTGGAACCCGAAGCAACTCGCCATGACTGCCCCCGTTCGAGGTGTTTGCAGTTTAGCTGCCCTGGAGTTGAGAGAGCTTTTCAATCCGTACCCCACCGGTCCTTCCGATTTGCTTCTGGGTTCAGTGTAGCCATCTTTGCAGAGATCGCTGGTTGTGAATGCGTTCTCGGCCATGTTTTAGTTGTAGGGTGCTCTTTGGGTTTCCAGGCCACTCTTTAGGTTCAGGGTTCACAACGACTCCCGTTGAGGCTTGGGTCAAGAGAGGAATCTTTCTTCTGCCAGCCCCTTTCCCTTTCCAAGCTGAGGCTCTCGGATCTCCTCAGGTCTAGGATTTGCTCGAGCACCTTGCTCGATTTCTTTGTTGCCAGGTTGCAGTTTGGACGTGTGTGCTTTGGTTGGATTGACACCCGGTCCTGGTCCTCATCAGGTTCCCTGGTCTCAGTCTCATTTTATCGTTGGCGTTGCCATTCTTGCATTATGACCAACTACTTCACATGCCCCAAATAGTAGGATTCCCTTCCAATATGGACCCCAGTAAGGTAATTCCCCCATGTTGGACACCACCGCATGTCTGGCCACACCATCACCTCTCTAACCCTAAACCCTAAACCCTAAACCCTAAACCCTAAACCCTAAACCCTAAACCCTAAACCCTAAACCCTAAACCCTAAGTGCTGTTCTGATGATCAAAAACTGCTTGCCCTCGTAGCCTCAGTCATTCGGAGCAAAGAGGTCTCCGGTGTTGCGCAGCCCCGGCTCTGAGCGCACAAGTGCAACCTTGGCAATGGACAGTAAGTATCTGAGAAATCCTAGAACCTGCTTTCAACCTTAAACCATCTTAAACCCAAAGTACTTGGAACCATTGGAGCCTACACCCATGCTTGAACCCATGCCTGAACCCACACCGGCTGCCGTGGGATGGAGTCCGTCAACTCCATGGAGTCATTGTGCGACGCGCGGGCGCCTGGTACTCGAAACCCTGAACCTAAGACCTAAACAAAGGGATGCTTTTCAGAGATGGGAAGGCTCAGCTCTCAGTCAGTCCCTACATGCACCCCCCGATGCGAGCCCCAGAGGCACTCTTCACAAGACCCAGGCGACCAGGGCATAGACCCAGAGTCGGGGCACCCACTACAGCAGATATAGCAGATCCAGGATGGACATGGCATGGAATACCTTCCCCCCCCCCCCCACCCCGGGCCCTCTGGTGCTGTCCCAACATGTCATGCAGAGCTCAGGCGTCCGTGCCTTCGGAGGCGGCCACGGCCTTCCGGAAGTGGGCTTGGGGCACCCAGAAGGTATCAAGAGATCTGCCCTTATTCTGCTACACGTCTTTGGGTTTCTCTGTGTGAAGCAACCGCAGAGGCGCAGGATCTGAGACCCAGAACATGCCCCCTCCCCCCCTCCACCCAAAACAGAGAGCTGTGAAGCCCTAAACCCTAAACCCTAAACACTGAACCCTAAGCCCTAAACCAGCAAACCTGAAACCCCCGACAGATGCCGCTCCGAGGCAGCTCGGAAGGTGCGGCATCCGGACCTCCCTGGGCTTGCCGCGCTCGGTACCCGGAGGAGCACATGGGCAAAGGCTTTTGAGAGGAGTCAGAGGGCTTCAGGGAACCTGTAGGATCTGGTTTAGGGTTTAGGGTTTAGGGTTTTGGGTTTTGGGTTTTGGGTTTAGGGTTTAGGGTGAGCTTCAGGGGGGGTTTCTTCGAGCTTCGGGGTTCGTAGGTTTTCACTGTTTTCACACTATTTATGATGCGATATCAGCTGGCGCCCCAAAAATCCCGGCTGCATACCGCCTTCCACAATTGCAAACTTTTGGGTTTATGACTTTTTGATATCTGGCCACTTCAACTTCTCCGCCCGAATGGGGCCTTTCTGAAAAGCTCCACACTTATGCGCGCGAGACTCTTTCCCAAATCTCTCAATTCTTTTCATCTCTGGGGGGGCGGGAGAGCTGGTGCACTTTTTTGCGCTTAGCACAATGCACTTTGCCACAATGCAGTCAATGCAGGCAAAGCCTCTAACTCTTGGCGTAGTTCGCCACTTAAGGCGGTTTCAACTCTGCCACTCTGAAGCGCAAGGAGCTCAGCAGCTCACCGCTTTGTGGTGGTTCTCTAAGTCTTAAATTGGGTAATGAGCGGCAATCTGGGTGCTTCGAAGTGTGCTTATTTCAGCCTTGATGCTTCTAAGCTCGTGCTTTGGGGGTTTCTGGTCAAGCACCTTTGCAGCTTGCGACCTGGAGGAGTTTTTGAGACTCAGCCACAGGCAGAAGGTTCCAATGATGCGAGCAAGTGTCGTCTCCCGCTCCCAGTATGCCAACTATGCCATGATGCTGGCTCTCCTAAAGAGGTGCATTCTTTCAAAAAAACCTGCGGAAGACAGCAGCCCCGTTGCGTACAGCGCCCGATCCAAGCCTAAAAAGCCATACAGAACTCTGCAGGTCTGAAACGCTGAAGCCCTCAGCTTCAAATAGATCCTGAACCCTAAAGACCGCGCCTGAGGCTGGGGATCCATGCGGTGGCAAGGAGCACCATCGCGACGAGTGACGTGATCATTGCGGAGGACGGGTTTTGGACTAAGCCTCATTTTACGGTTCCATAATTTCAGTGATGGTTTGGGGTTCAGACATACCTACATGATACCCCATGCCGTTTGAGAACATCCAACAAAAGCAACTTAGCCGACCGTCAAGTCTACACTGCCCCACAAAGTCGCAAGGATGCGCTGGTGCGGCTGCCCTCGCCACGCTCGGCAAGCAGGTGCTGGCCGAGCCGGGGGGGAGTCCGGTGCCGGGATTGGTGGGGTTGTACTCGCAGGATTGTCAGGGTTGGAGGGCTTCGCGGTGTTCGCGGGGTTGATGGCGTTCGGGTTTCGCAGGATAGCGGCCCTGCCACACTTCTCGACAAGCTTATTTTCGTTGATCTTGAACAGCTTTAAAAGCGATGGTCCTTTTTTGATATCATCAAGATGGCGAGACCATGGCCTTTCGAATGTTGAGCATGTTTATGTTAGATTTGGAGTACATGTCTTGAATATGCATATCAGCATGGCAAAACGATGGATCCTTGTCAAGAAGCCTGCTGTCACACTGTCACACTTTCCGGAACAACCAACCCGAGCCCGAGCGAAAGGGGTGGGGGGGTGGCGGGCCGCAGGGACATGGCATGTCATTTCGCACTCTCAATTTGAGAGTTGATAGCCGTAGCCTAGTCTAGGGTGGAGCAGTCAGGCACTGTAGGCTCTCAGTGCGAGTTCGACGCCTGAAGCCCGTGCAGCTCAGAGGCGGCTCCTCCAGCGCTACGGCGAACTCGAGGTGAGATGGCTTCGCTTTGCTCCTCGCGCACAAAATCTTGGGTTGCTGAGGGTTCTCAATGGCTGCGGATCAGCGCCAAGTCAGTATGCCTCAAGCACAAGGCAACTTTTAGAGTTCAAGCCTCTAAATGGGTATTTCCCAAAATAGGGGTACCCCTTTTATACCCGAACAGAATAGAATCCCCTTAAAGGGATCCGCCAGAAAACGTGCCCGTATTTTCGGCATGTAGGGAGCTCGTCCATCCTGGCTTGCCCTAAATGGAATTATGTGGTGAATCTGGGGGCGGGCCCACATTTTGTGACTTATCCCGAAGACTCCCGAAATGCCAGACCAAAACTGATGCTTCTGCAGGGCTTCTTGACTCCAGCCATCTGCGTGGATTGGAAGTCCACCACAGAGGCAGGGGTGTTGTTGCCCTTGTACGAAGCACTTGTGTAGGGGCAGCAACAAATGGTTTTGAAAGCGGCTGTCTTTGCTTTCGGATTGGAGCATGTGACCGGCAACATCACCAAAAAAGAAATCTGGGATCTGGTAAGGAATTGCAAGCCAAGCATCCAAAACTGTGCGAAATGCGACTCTGAACGCAAGACGCCAAAGCCGACGTCAGCATGACAACGTGCTGGAGCTGAGGAGGTGAGAGAGGCCTGCCTCACACTTTTCTACGCCCACCCCGAGATGGAGAGGACCGCTCCTTTGGGGCTTCGGAGTACTTTTGGCAGCCCAAGGCCGAATTCCCCCCTCCACCTGTGCCCTAGGAGGTCGTGCTCGGACGGCGCGCACATCCGGGCGCTTCCTGACTTGATTTTCGCTAGTATTTCCGGAGGGCTGCGTAGGATTTGAGGCCGGGCCACTTAGCCGGGCAATCCAAGGCAGTTTACAGCATTTCGGGAATTCCGGCTTTTGGCTGCATCGTGCTTCATGTGATCGTCTGGAGGTTTCAATTCGAGAGCGACTCAGACTGACTGTGGGTAAATGCTGTTGCGAACCAAGAGCTTGAGTTTCAAGAGCAGTTCAGCCTTTGATGTTGTAGTCTTAGCCCTCGACACCTTCCATGCTGTGGCAAAAGTAGATTGCCAGGCCCTAGGATCCGCCAGCCGAGGTGCGAAGATCTACTCCGAGTGAACCCAGAGCCGTCACCTGAGGGCGGCCTTGAGGGCCTTATGTTTGGTCTTGTGTCTTGTTTAGGTGCCTCCTAATCCTAGAGCCACTCGAGGTTTTTATGATCCGCGATCTTCAAGAGACGTTCTTCTGACCCCCTAAAAAACCAACACCTCCCTGAAGTCCCCCATGGCTCTCATGGAGTGCTCGGAGCCCACTTCTAAAGTCCCAAGGCATAAGCTCTGAGTCCTAAACCCCAGACCCTGAACCCTAAACCCTAAACCCCAATTTCTAA